ATTTGGCTCTAGTATGATCTGTGGAACAATCAAAAACACAAAAACATCAGACACACCTTCAAAAAGAAAGAGTAACGGGATGAATCTCTCTTGCAATTTATGACATTTTGGTCACTCGCACTTTTTGGTCAATACTGCTTATGGGAGAGGTGCCAGTTCCTCCCATGACCAACAAGGAGAGGTCATTCCTCCCTTGAAGCACTTCTACAGAAACACAAATTGCACAAACAACAGGAGATGACATTCCTCCCTGATCCAAACACAAATTACACTTGTTTGCGACACCTATTGCACTGGGGTGAGAGCTGAGGTAATTCCCCAGCTCAATCGCCCGCGGAATCGGCCTAACAACCCCATCAAGAGGAGGTCATTCCTCCCCTTGTACGCAAAGACGTGTCTTGGTCAATACTGATTTAGGGAGTTTCTCCCCACACATTGGGAGAGTCGCCAGTTCCTCCCTATCTATAACAATCGGTACAAACACCAATTACTACAGTTGAGGCACTCCTCTGGGTGGAATCACAAAGGTGTGAAGGATACAACATTCCTCCTTTTTGGGCACACTTACACAATCTGACGGTGTCAGTCAATACCAATGTGTGAAGGGAATTAGCTTCCGCTTCACATACAATCAAGCTCATTACTCCGTTGCCCACAGAAATTGCATTTTCGGGAACACCACTTTCAACCATACATAAGGCAGGAGACGACATTCCTCCTGGCCTCTTTTGAACAACCGAGTTTGCTACTCCGTTGCCCTGTGTCAACCAAGTTTGCTACTCCGTTGCCTAGGGATGTGTGTGAATCGGTCAATACCAATGTTGGGGGATTTGGCTTTTGGTGTCCACCCCACACGTGACCCAAGTTGACTCCCCTCCATGTCCGACACTTGCAATTTGCGCACTTTTCACCAATCAAAACTTGGAAATTGCGTGTGAATTGGTTAATACCAATGTTGGGGGAATTTGCATTGGCTTCCACCCCCCACGTGACAGGAGTCGACTCCCCTCCTTGTCCGTCACTGTTGGGATTCATCCACTTTTTGTCAACAAATCAAAATCTTGTCAACCGACCATGCGACGCCTGCCTCGTTTCAGCGTCCCCGTCCTGATCAAACAGGAGATGCCAAAAATGCCCATGGAACAGACGTCACTTTGGCATCTGTCATGGAAATGCCAATTTCACAACCTGCGATGAAAAGATGACAACCATATTTGTGACAAATTGATGACATCCACGAACACTCACAACGCCAATAACAATGACAACCATATCCGCAACAAACCAATGCATTCAACAAACTGTTTAATGTCAAATTTGACATCAAAACTTGGTTCACTTTTCATCACCAATAAGACCTAAAGACGACATCCACTAGGCAAAAATGACAATCAGTGACAACATGTCACTTACAATCTCAACACGCCTCTGCGCACACGTCAAGGCTGACAAGGGACCTTTGTCCCTCTCAGCATGGCACCATTCACTTGGAATGGCGTAGGTGAATCACGTCAAACAATCTCAATGCCCCTGGAATATGCAAACACCTTCCAGGCAGATGATTCAGCACATGCACAAAAATGCCTATGACTCCTCTATCAAGCTAGGCCTCAAACTTTCAAGAGCATTCTGGAGAAGCCATGCACGCGAACCGCCATTTTTCTCCCCACCCTAACCAGTCAATTGGTCTTGCCGAGCTCGCCACCTGGTGGCAAGCCAGGAAAGACCAAGGGGGGTTTTGTCACGGGTCCATTAGATGTTGCCCGCGTACGCCCCAATTAACTTGGGATGACTAGATGTTTCCCGAGTTGGTACAGCAATGGAATATATGAGAAAACAATGTGGCGTACGAAACACCACGTCCTCCTCACAATTTTCGAGAGAATAATTCCTGCAAAAGAAGTAAGTATTAATAAATATTTTTATTATAGAAAAGAAAACAAGATTCCTAGGAAACCTGACCACACCAGGGATAGTCTTGGAGATAATGATCTCCAAGACTTATTCCACTCATGTGAATCACACAAAATCATGAGAATTAGCTGAGCCTGACCAAACAACAATTGGACACACTGGCAGAAAGCCTTGAGGAAACTTTCCACCAGAGGAATCTCCAAGACTTATTCCACTCATGTGAATCACACAAAATCATGAGAATTAGCTGAGCCTGACCAAACAACAATTGGACACACTGGCAGAAAGCCTTGAGGAAACTTTCCACCAGAGCAGGACCTGAACCTGCTCCTTTCAGTGTGAAAAAACTGTCACTTGTCTTCTGAGCTCCAGAGAGAACAGACTTTGTATTTTGTGTGCTGCTAAAAATCATCTTTGGATATTGTTGGAACTTGAAGAACATATACTCTGACATTGAGGTATTGACCTCAGGCCGCAAATGGCCAATTGTGACTACATCATTTATTTGCTTGAGTAAATTGAGCAAAATCATAATCTTTGTCACTGAGGCTTATTAGCCCCTGACACAACTGGTGGGGCAACCTGAGAGGGAGCACTGGTCAGTCTGAACACAGACAAGGATGAGTGTGAATATGCTCCACAGGCACAGACCAGACAAGCAAAAAAGATGAAAAAAAAATACATCAACGAGCCTAGATCACACTCAAGCCAAACTGTTTTCTACTACCCTTTTCTGCAAGTGTTGGTGGAGGCCTGGAGTAGTAAACTGTTTCCCTTTTTTGGTTTTCAGCTTTTACCTTTTAGCATTACCCATTGCTACAGATCAATGGCAGTAAAAACACAGTGATTACTCAACCCAGGTGAAAAGAAAGAACACAGCTGCACCAAATTTGTTATCCTAAGTTGTCAAAAAGTGATCAAAAAATACAAATGTATTAAACATTTTCTTTGTCAAACAACTCATTATGTTCTGATATTATCCATCAGGATGAACTTACGTTGAGAAGTAATTAATTATTATGGCCAGGGTGACAGGAAATAAATATACTTCTCTTCAAGCAATTGTGAGTAACATATATCTCATGCCAACTATCTGCAACAAGAACCATCAGCCCAGCAATGAATACAAACAATAATATGTTTGGACACACCTTTATAGATTCTGTGCCAAGGAGTAGAGAACACAGAAAGGTGCATGACCACACATGAACATAAATGAAAGCTGGATGACAGTCAAAAGGTGATTGACCAAATGACCAGTGATCACTGATTGGATACCCTTAGTCAAGGCAGTTGCTATCTGTGCACCATGGAAGTGTGTTGGAGGAAATCCACAGTTAGGGGGAGTATTCTGAGCATGTTAAAGGATGCACTTGAAATGTATGATGACAACACAATGATTCACATCACTGAATAATACTGTACCAATAATGCAAAAATGAGCTACATTACAAGGTCTAAACCAGCAAAACAGCAATACAAGAACAGACATCCATCCCACCAACCAAACAAACCTCCTTTTATTCACTCAAATCAAACATCTTTCACTGCCACTACCTAAAAATTTCCAACTTATCCTCCTATGTCACAAATCCAATTATCTCCACACACAAAACCAGCTCCCATAATCTGAACACTCCACCAAAGAAATCTGACTAGTTTTCACCTGCTGCCATCTTCCTCAACCAGACAAGTCCGTGCTGATTATGGTCTTGACACTCTTGAGAATACCTCCCTCTACACCCAAGACCAGAGGGTTTTTGGCAAGGACCACAAGAGATTGCCCAACCTACAGAACACAAAAGACAGCTAGACATGCACGCAAATTGAATATCTCAAGCATACCTTACCTCAATGACCATGAGAAAAACCAGCAACCAAAACCAGACACCGAACTGGTCCTCCCAGGAAACACTGCATCCTCTAAAAAAAACCAAAGAGCTACTTCACTTTGTCTTGAGGTTCAAGGGTGCTTGGATCTTAACAAAAATTGTTTCTGAAAGTTAAATCTGATTTTTTATGGTCAGGCCAGAAAAATTCAAAGTGGGTTTAAGAAATAAAACACAGTAATCAGCAATTATGCTGCCAGATCCTCCTTAGTGGAGTCCCATAAAAACCCTTCTTTTTTGCACAGCGCACAAAAATATGGGGGCAATGGACACACAAGAATCCAGAGCCTGGAAGGTCTAAAACATAAGCATACAAGAAAAACACACTTGAACTTCACACACAGAGTCTCCTACAAAGGTCATATCTCTGACAGGCAAAGTAAGCAATTGCCTTGCTGGCTCACCTTGAAGGTTTCCTGTCTCTTTTATGCCAATTTTGAATTTGCATTGGTAACTGACCATGCAGCTGGAACTTCTTCTGTGCTTTTATCCAAAGCCACATGGTTGGGTTGCATCCAAGCATATATGCTCTGCCTGGACAGTGCCTCCTTTGCAACCCCCAGTATCAACTTGTGATTGTTTTTAAATTGTTTGTGGAGACTTGGTCTTGGCTGCAAATGGCTTATTATCATGCACTACATTTAGTTTTCTTTGTCTGGATCCTAATAATCCCTGACAGTTTTCTTACAAAACTTCCAGATGAAGATACCATAATGTCCTTCATTGATAGCTAAGATAAATTTATTATGCTTGAGAAAATTTCCAGCAGACTGGCAAAAAACTTTGTTGGGAACACTGGTATTACAGTACACAATGAATTGATTAATGTATTGAAGCACACATTTTTAATTTAAAAGTTTTGTACTGTATTTAGATTCATCTATTGATGAAGCAAGAAAACAAAAATTTGGATACATCAAAGCCAATTTCCCTCTGCTTTAAAAATGTTCAGAGGCTTTTTGTTTTCATCAGCTTCAACACTGAAATCTCGAAAATCTCAGAAAGGAATCTAAGGAGGCTTACTTTATTTATTGCTAAAAAAAACCGTATATAAAAAACAAGTGAATGGGACACAGTCATTTCAGAGAAAACATGCTGCCACTATGGCGCGGGGGTTTAAATTTTTAGCACCTTTAGCGTGATTTCCCACCAAGTGTGTGGAGTATATATAAACCGTACAGTGTTATTGGGGAAAAAATGCCTGGGTGCCCTGTTCTAGGGCCAAAATTGTCCCTGTGCTGCTTGCTGGTGAGTGTATGGGGCACACTGCAGCTTTGCCTCATGGGCGTGTTCTTTTATGTGCACAGTGTTGGGCTATTGGAAGACCTGCCAGTGGCCGAAGAGATAAAACGAGGAATGCTCAAAGAATACTTGGAAGAAGTGGATTACCTTTACAGCAAAGGAGCGCAGAATTGCTGGATTGCCGCTTGTCTTTACGTCTTCTCGATGGTTTTCTCAATTTGGCAATTTTTGGCCAATCGGCGGCTGGCTGAACGGATTGAGCAATAGCAGCGGGTGATTTTAAATATTTTTTTCAATCGGACTGAATGCATTCCATTCTACTCTTTCGAATTCTGGTTGAAAAGTGCGAGACAATCAGAAAAAGTAGCCTCATGTCCTTGGAGTATTCAAACTAAGTGATTATTTGCGCAAGCAGGGAAATCTTGCAACAAGTTATCTTAGAAAAATTTGGCATTTCCAAGCAATGTAACACTTATTATTGGTTCATATGCAATGGAAATCTTGCCCCAAAAGCAAGGACAAAAATTTGTTTGAAGTATGAAGTTCAAAAATCCTATTCATAATTTTTTGAAGCATGTGTCCTTCTTCAGATAAGCTTTTTGGACCCAGAATATCTCTATGAATTGTTCATATGTGGTACAGTTAAACCCTGTGTAATGAACCTTCCCCCCTGAGAGATTTTTGCCCAACCTCTGGAGGCAGTTTTTCCTCCCAACCAACAGACTTCTGTTGGTATAAAATTTTTGGTATAGGAAGTAAAAACAATTTAACTTTTCAGTAACTGAATTTGCATTACAGACTTTTCACGTAATATTTGGAGAATAATATTTGGAAACAAATTATGTGGAAAGAATTATGTGAAAATAACTCGCTTGGATTCGATTATCGAAGGCCCATGTGTTGACGGAAGCCAGTTCGGGCTTCATGGCAATCAGCATCTTGTCAGTGATGATCTACGGACGCCATCCATGCACCAGGCGACGTCGCAAGTGACGTCAATGACGTCACTGTTGTCCCTTTGACGTCAACGGCTTGGACACAGTCTGCATCACCAAATGTGCCCATCACTTGACACTTGGCATCCTTGGGAATCCACATTCTCCTTTTTCTCTTCTACATTAACACCAACGGCAACAGAATTTCCTGATATTACCCTCGCTTTTAATTTATGTTCCTGCTTTTCTTTTCGGTAGCATGTCAATAATATTCACAATTGAGAGTTTGTTTTGGGGCCTTCTTTTTCTCATTTTTTGCTGGACTCATGGGTGACAGGTGCTTAACAAACGTACATCAATCAATGAGCAAGAGAATTTTGAAGTGCCGCAAGAGGCACTATGGAAATACTTCCCCAAAAGTTGATCAGGATTTGACAACATTTATATGCAAGATGAAGAGATTGCCAATCTTCAGGAACAGCAGAAGAGATTCGGGTCTCTAAAATTAGTTCTTTTAGATTTTAAGAACAGAGGGCGCCAACTTTTAAATCAGGTGGGAAATTGTGTGAGCAAATAAGCCATTGCGAAACATGCTGGGGCTTTCAAAAGTGCTCTCGGTAGAATTTCTGTGAGGCTTCCGCGGAAAAAATTAAGTTCTGTCCAAACAATCATATGTACATTATCTTTCTCCGTCTCTTTTTTTTCTGTTTCACCAGCACAACAAGGCATCAAAATTTTAACAGTTTTTAGAAATTACTGTACCCCCGAGATTGCTCATTCAAAGTGACTTTATGATTCCTAACTCAATCCTAAGGGAGCACGGATTCCAACCCACCCTCTAAGTCCAGATAAGTAATTGGGGTTGTCTAGGGGGATCCAATGCCACTTCGGCAGTTATTGATCCAAAACAGCCAAAGTATTCACCAGTACCTCCTGTTGTTGTTGGGGATTGTTAAGATCCAGACAAACAAATAAAAAAGTTCACACTAGGCTGTTCAGCAGGGACTAAGTCTCCTTGAACAATTTTCTAACAAAAGCAGAAATTTTTCAGTAATAATTCCAAATTCACTTTCTGAAAGGAAGTGATGATCCTAACTCTAGCAAAGCTTTCAAAATAGTAATGATTTATTAGGTTCTGGATGAGTGCGGATTTTCCTGAGTTGAGCAGTTTTTATGTCTGGATTTGTGTCAGGTTTTCACATGGTCATCATGGTAAGTGTTGGTTGGGTTCTTTGATTTTGTGTGTATACCTGGGTGTTCTTTTGTATTTGGTTTATTGGGCAACCTCTGAGTAGTCCTTGACAGTGCTGCATGAATATGCTGGGGTTGAAATTGACATTGATCAAGATCTTGTGGATCTGTTGAATCCTTGTACAGTCTTTTGAAAAAGGAAGAAACTAACTTATTTCTCTGTTATAAATTTTTATCCTTTTTAATTTCAGTGAATATACTTGTATCCCTTTTGCCCAAGTAATTTTTAGCCAGAAATCCCTTACTTTTTAGGATGAATCCCTTAGGCATGTGGGACTTCCATTTTGATAAATTCAACAAAAGTCTGCCCACAGCATTGCCAGCTTCTGGCTGTATTGTCCAAGATTTGAAATATGGTTGTCCTGAGTACCCTTATACAGGGGGATGATGCCTTTCTAGCATTATGGCTCCCAACCCACATTAAGATATTCAGTAACTTAGAATCTTAGATGATAATTCCATGGCAATCATCTGAAGAGTGCCACACTTCTGCTGAAGCTAAAAAATAATGGTGTTCAGAGTGACTGTTTAGAAAGGCAATTTTTTGGTATTAGCAAAACTTGCTGTGATCTCTAAAGGAATCCTGTGGAACTGACTCTGACCTTGGTTCTCTATGGTTTTCTCATCCGTGATTCATTTCATCCAAGAAATATTCTTCAAATTTCAGGAAAGTCTGCAGGGTCAATTCTCATCCACTTTCATTGCAGACTTATTCTGGTAAGTTTCTAACAGCTGAATTCTGGCAATCACAGCTGAATCTTTTGAGAGGAAAGGGGCTTTGCAAAGTGCTGAAATTCATCTTTTATGCAATTGATTTTTTCCTTCAGCCTATCCCTGCTGAAATGAAGGGGATCGAATCCAACAGTCATTCTAAGCTATTGGAAGTAAGAGAGGAAATCTTCGCCATTAGGATCTGAGATGTTGAAGGTTACTTGACCAGTGAAAAATGGATGTCAGTACCCTCTTTGTCCTACTCTTCTGTGGAGCTGGATGAGACAGCAGAGATGAAAGGGTTCCTTTTGAAAGAATCAGTTGAAAAAGAGATTGGAAAAATGAGAGTTCCATCTTTTCTGAAAAATGTAATCTCTAACCTGAAAGTTTGCTTTCTGAATTGATGTCATGGCAGGCAAACTCAAAATTATTTCCCTCTTCAGGGATGTTAAAATATTTCTCATAGCCTGGATCCTTTCATTCTTCACATCTCAAATCTCTTGTGGGGCCAGGACAATAATTCCCACTGAGCTCATTCCTTTGGCAATTATATTGAAAATTTGGAAAAGTATCGGATTTGTGCACTGTCTTTGTAGAACACATTTCTTTTGCAATGTAAGTTATGCCAAATACAAAACTTCCCTTCAAAATAACCCTGGAATTTCATGTTTTACACGCTATTTGCTGCTACACAGTACTGCATCCTTGCCACTAATTTGATATCATCTGTTTCTCCTTGGTATTTAGTAATTTGTGCTTTGGAGTCAATTTTATAGATTTAATCCTTAATTAATTTTTGAAATCTTGAGAAGGCCTTGTGGGAATGTTTGAGGGCTATATGGCCGAAATTTATTTGAACTTCTCTCATTTTCATAAGCTTACCCTCCATGCAATACTGTATATGAACTCGTAGTATAGAAAATTTCTAAATTCCTGAAAAAAATAATTTGTGGAGGAATAGGAGCTATTTAAAATTTGTAATTCTGGAAAGTAAACACCTCTGGTCTGTAGGCTTTGAAGTGCGTGATGTAAGGTTACACAACAAGTGAAAAACTCCAAGTTTGCGTGATCTAATGGGTATTGCTTACTTCAAAGCAGGTCATCGTTCTACGCATTCAGTTGACCTCGTCTGGGGTCATAACAAATTTCGCGACTTTTATGAAGCGCTTCCCGGATAGGGGATCTATGACCAGGGGATTTGCTGAAATGCCCGCTTTCATTTATCCCATCAAATCTCTAAACTCAATTTTCTTGTGGATCACTTCATATATTATGCACAAGAATTCAAAGTGAATAATTTTCCATGACCAGAAGTCAGTATTCTGGTTCAATTTTGTCTCTTTAAAAAATTCCGAAGTTACCCCAAAACCGTCTTATATTCACAAAACCTTTCTTTTTTTTTAATCCGGAAAGTCGGTTTTGAAGAACTTGAATGTGCAGTCGTTTAGATATAGATTATTCTGAAGTCTGCATTGAAAAATACCTCTTTTTTTCTTAGAAGAAATCTCGTTTTTTTTTCAATTGCCGGAATGAATTTCGTACAATAACCTTCAGGAATAAGTACGAAGCCATCAATCCAATATATTACTCATCCGAATGATACGCTGCTGAAAAAGTTCCATCAAAGCTTGTAAACTCATTTTTCGAATCATGATTCAAGGTGATGATGAACTGCGGTGTTATAATGAATTCACTTGGATGAATAAAATATGCATAATCCAGCAAGCAATCGCCAAAAGTCTAAGGGAAAGCAAACGATTCCTGGTCACGTGACATTTGCGCTGGTTGACACGGGCTTCAACTATAATGCTGAAAAGCTTTTCTGAGGAATCGGAAATTTGCGTTCAAATAATTATACTTGAGCGGCACAGGCTCAAACGATCATTATTTATTCATTTTTGCCCCCCCCCGCGAAAACGTGTTATTCGCACACAACATGTGCTTTCTCGAAAAGTCTCGAGTTTCACGCAGTTGTTGCAAAGCTGCGACATAATGGAATCACTTGCGAGAAATGTTTTTTGCTCCGTCGTTTTTATTATCGCGCAAAAAACCCGAGTTGGAGATGCAATGATGATTGCGAAAAGTTTCACCACTGCTCGTTTTTTGGGCAACACCAGTGTTGCTTCCATCGGGTTCAGTCCTACCAACGGATTTCTGAAAACCTGGAATGATATGCCGATCATCGAGTGTCTCGCAAGTTGCATCGGTAATTATAACTTCGCTAGCATTTTTTTTATAGAATTTTTGCAACACGGCAGGTTTAATTTTTCAGAAATTATGCAACATGCATGTAATTTAAACTCGCATTGGAGGCAGTCAATTTGAAGAAAATTCAGGTTCATCATTTGATCATCATTTGTGAGCCAGATAAATTTTTTTTTATGTTTTGGGCTTGAAAATTGTGGGATACACACGATGAAAACTCGCATACAAATTAAATTAATATAATATTAATATACTAGAAACATATACAGAATCTTCTTTGGTTCCCTGACCAAGATCTGAAGATTAATGAAATCAATTTGAAAATCTAGCCCCGCTCAGGAATTTTTATGACGTTTTTCTACGATTTTATACCGGAAGAAATTCCACAATGGTTGGAATGAAATTTTTTTGTGTGTCTCGAACATCTGTGAAGTATTCCTTTTTCTGGCGGAAATCTTGCAAATTCAAAATGCTTGCTTCTACTAAAATTCCCATTTTATTGTAACTAAATGTGAAACTTGGCAAACGTTACTTCAAAATTTTCCTTCGTTTTAAATGTCAGCAGCTGCTTCACTCTTCCTGATTGATTTGTTTATTTCTGCATTTTGAGTGATGAGACATTTTCAGATGAAATTCCGTGATTTCACCTTTTTGAAAATGCTCTTAGATGCATTACTCTTAATGGAGATTGAGTTGAAAACTTTGAGGTGCAATACTGTTTTTTTTAAAGAATAATTATGTTCAAATAATACGTTGCGGATGTTTTAAGTATTTAAGATATAATTTTTTTAAAATTTCAATTTAATTTTTTTCTAATCGAACACTCTGAGTATTTTGGATGGATTAAGCAAATAATGCGTGAGGCTGAAGAAAATTCCGAAGGTAGAACTTGACTTTTCCAAGTTTCTCTCACTAAAATTGGATGCGATGCTTTGTGATATCTTCAATAAATTTTCGAAAACTAAAAAATTTACGCAAAAATTCAGCATACACAGATTGCAATTCCGTCAATTGGGCAAAGAACGACGCGAGCGCATTAATCGGCCGCTGTGAAATCATCAACGCAACATCGTGGAAACCGATTTCATTTTTGGCGAGACCTGCTGAATTCAGCGAATTTTATGTGGATGTCAACATGAAATCCATGACGAGGCTTGTCGCAATTCCTGCTGTGACCTCTTCAACTGCATTAGCAGTTTCTGACCCAAAAGCGGTGAGTTAAAATTTTTTTTCATATCTGTTTTCATAGAACACCTGTTACCCTATTTTTACTTTTAAGTTAAAATTAAGACAACTTAAAAAAAAAAAAAACAGAGGGACCTTCCAGAGTATGTCCATATACCTCTAAAGAGGTTCTCAACCCTTTGATCTTGTATAGGGGGCATCACCAAGTGACCCAAAAAAAAAAAAAAAAACATAGATATACCTTCAACCAACTCTCTTTTCATTTGATAACCAGACACCTTCACAAAGACAAAGAGGACATGTTTTGGGTTCTAGATTCAAAAGACAGATGACTGTGGTGGTCAAATGATTTTGAGAAGGAAGAGTAGGGTTTTTATACTGCTGGACTTGGGGGCTAGATTGAAGCATGTAACTTCTAGTCATGGGCCTAATTTAAATTACAGAGTAATACAGACATGTATTTATTAGGTTCCAGAAGGGGTCACAACACTCACAAGTGATGACAAGGACTTTTTATAGTACCTTTAAATTACAGTGTTGCCTCACATAATTAGTGCCTTGCCTGATGACCAATCCACCTAATGACCACTGAAAACCTGAAAACAATGTCTTGCCTAATGACCACTAACCTGCCAAACAAACATTTTCTGGCCTTCCCTTGAACTAATAAATTAGAAGACAAACAATTTCAATGGCGTTGTTTCTTCCCCTCAACAAAAATGGCTGTTTCTCAAGCATTTTTGTTGAGGGAAAGTGAGAAGAATGGAAGGAAATTGTAATTGGTGATATTCTAGGCCTAAAATTGCTTTATTTACCTCATGCAAAAGTGAAATCTATGCAAAGTTATACAGGAGGATAGACTCCTACTTTGCTTATAAAGATATTGCATATATGCATGCAGTAAAATTGCTTTTAATTTTGTGGGTTATTTTTTAAAAAGAGAGTTAAGCACTTTAATAAGGAACATTTTGATAAACTACAGCAGTGTTTTCAGGGATCTGTGCTTTGTTATTTGAAAATGTAGGCAAATTTTTACATTTTTCTGCTAGATTTTTTTCCCAGGGACCAATTATAATGGGTTCCACATTGATTCTGAAAGGAATACCTGACCTGCCTTACAACTGTTTCACCTAACAATCACCATGCAGGAACAAATTGTGGTAATTAACCAGAAACACAATAAATGGATTGAGAAAGGGAGCAAAGAAGGCAGAGGCAGATAATGCACAAGTGCTAAATTATAAGTTTGCCAACAATTGCATCTTGTATCATAACTTAGTTACATGCAGCTTTGTGTAATTTTACCTTCTTTGTGCAATTATTTTCCATGCCTTTCAAATCACAGGTGGCCAATCTCAGTTTGCATTTGTAAGGTCAAAATAAACAATAATTCATATCTCTGGGAATCTTCTGCTTCAGTCATATTTGTCTGATATTATTTTTTGAAAACCAACTCATCAGTTCAGCATTGAAAGACTTCTAAAATTAATTCATGCATAATGTAAAAACAGATATACCCTTCTTTTGCAGTACTAAATGGCGCAAGAAAGATTCTGCGCAGAAAAACAAGCGAACAAACCGCAAAAATTAAAAATTCAGTGCAAAAATTCGGCCATTTAAATTTTAAGAAACTGGCTAATCGAGAACGAGATATTGATGCCTTTTCTTCCAACTGAAAGAGACTGAGTTGTTGAATTTCATGGGTGAGAAAACTGATCGAAAAGTCGAGAATACTGGAGAAAAGTATCTTCATTTTCAACTCCAAGAATACCCTGGAATAAAAGTAGGTTGAAAAAAATTTTTTTTCTGAAATTTGTCGAACGACTGACCCTGAAGTGTGCGCCCAATTTTTCTGTGCACTTCTTGAAGAGTTTATATCAATATGTATTGTCCAGACTATATGTGCAAATTATTTAATTATTCCTCATTGATTTTTTTTTGCAGAAATGGCCGACAGATTGCATGTTTGTCAGCGGATCGACAGCGGGATTCATTGTGGGATTCAGGAACAATCAAACGTCATCGAGTTACATCGAACATTTCAAGTGCAGGGTTTTCAGACATGGTTTTGCCATGTCGGCTGAAACACCGACGGTGATAGCTTATTCCCAATACGCCAATTTCAATCTGACGTGTCCCAGCGGTTGGGTGAGTATTACTTGCTAACAAGGAACAAATGGAAGCAGGAAGTACTGTAATTATGCACAATAGCACCGTCGGCGGCTTTCTAGTTCAGCAAACACACGTGAAAGGCGAAAGTGACCTTTTGGAAAACATTTTTGACGCGGGGTTTTTGTGCCTGGCAATTCATTTGGGGCATTAGTGGAGTAGAGGTAATTTATTTTCAAACTCGCGATAAAAGTTACAATACGGTGGCGTTGCGTTTTTTTTCTATAGTTTATTCTATTTTCTATTCATATAGGTTTTTGGTGACCCTAGGTCAAACAAATGCCCTGGACTTCTAAGCACCATGAAGTTTTCAACCTATAATTTGGATAAAAATGTATTTTCAAATAAGACGTGCACCTTACAGAGGCTGAAAACAGCAGCTTTTTGAATGTAAAAATAGGTCAGAATTGAAATTTCGACTTGAATTGAAGTTTAATTTAACCATTCATTTTCCATCATTTCCATTATTTTGGGAATTTTTTGGAATATTGGTAGAAAATTTCCTGTTGAAGAGTTGGAATCAAGTATTTACCAAAGCTTTGAAAATTTTTAAAATGTCATATGCAAGTATGATGCACACTCTCTTTTGATACTCTACATTTCAAAAAAAAAAAAAATTTTCGAATTATATGTGGAATGAGTACATGACACTGTATCAAATAGGATGTTTGCATACAAGGGTGTCCATCTGTCAGATTTTGTTGCATATAGGAACTTTGAATTTAGCTGAAATGAAGGAGAGTTTGCCAATACTTATTATCCACTGTGCCTGAAACCGTTACATTCATATAAAATTTTACTTGGTCTTATATGTGATTATATTTCCATAATACAACATTTCCTTCATCTTGTCAATCCACACCACTCTGTGTACAGGGTGGACCAAGAAAAAGGAATGACAATGGCTCAGTAGGAAAGTGAGCTCCAGCAAGAGAAATGAAAAAACACCAAATGGAAGCTTGTCCACCTTTATCCACCTTCAAATTATATGCTGTTGAGCCAGATTCAACAAAATTTAATCTAATCACAAAAAATAGATTCAGCCCTTTTTGGCCAGGTCCTCCTTCTAGGAGATCCTTCAAAAGGAATTTAAATTCCCAGAAAACAAAAACAGGGTAAATGCGAATTCAGCAGGGGGCAAGGATCATAGGAAAACAAGTGCACACACAAACAACAGTCTCACTCAACAGAAAATTGTGCAACACAAATCACAACTCCTGATCAACTTAACTAAGACCTTCTTCCACAAAAGATGGTTCACAACTGCAATCTTAATTAGTATCCAAGTTTGAACTTATATATGCTGGGTCTCTCCCTTCTCCTCACCCTCCAATTTGGCATGAAAGAGTCCAAATTGGCCACTGATGTCACATATTCCAAAGACACTCTGCTTGTCTACCTGCCTTGGGAGAGCAGCAACATCTAGCAGCCCAACATATGTGATGGTTTTGATGGTTTTTTGGTCTCAATTGAGGCATGGCTTCAAAAACCTTATTTGAATGAAATCTTTCAGAAAAATGAAACATTGCAGGCAATTCCTTCCTCTAAGCTCATTTTCTCCAGAGCTGTTTTTAGGAATGAATTGTATATGCAGGACCAACTTTACCAGTAATTTAACCAGCAAGCTCTACATCAAAATGAAGTTTGCTGGTTAAAATTTCATATTAATTCACAGATTTTTGATTTAGAAAGCTGCCAATGCTTTTTTCTTCAATTTGTGCCAAATACATTTTTACTTTTATTTACCGCAGGTGATCACAGCCGCCCTCGAAGACGACTCGGGCTTCATTCTGACCAACAACATTCGTTGCATGAAACCCGCATTACCCTGGTTTGTGAATGGCGCCCAGTGCCGCACCAAAGCCCTCAAGACCTTCAAGGCTGCTGCCACGCCATCTCCCATGAAGACCACCAACTTTGATGGCGTGAACGCGGAACCCGACTGGGGTGCCCAATGTGGGAACTCCACCACCATTGAGGCCCTGGTTGCCTACAACTTCGTCCTCGCTCCAGAATGGGTATTGGACACCATGCTCTGCTGTCTACTAGAGCGAGCTGCGTGAGAAGCTGACAAGAAATTGGCGAACGTCAAATTCACTCTTTATCGGGTTTTTATCGCGTCCTCTGTTTTAATCCTGAATCTGTAAATCTGGATTATCATAATCATCCAGACGCATTACGAATGAAGCAAGTGTCAACATTTTGATTCACTGAAAGCAAATAAATTGGCCCATGTATGCACATACCAAGAATATTTCATATTGAATGGCATATACTTCTTTCTTTGATGACCAACTGCTAATAGTGCAAGTAAGGAATGTTTACTCAAGTTCCTTGCATGACTTTTGCTTGGAATGTTATCCCAGAAAGTTGAATGCAGCACAGAGACCAAGAAATTAGTCTCAAATGCACATGGCACCTTGCAATTCAAAGTCCTGCAATTTGATGACAGTGAAATATGCTGGGACATTGAGTCACTATTTGACTTCTTGCCCGCAATTTAACCTCCAGAGAGATTCAAAATGTCAAATTCAGTGTAGAAAACATTGAATTCTGCATTGTTTGGTAATTTGACTGCTTTGCAATTCAACCCATCCCTTATTGCAATGGATTGGGGTCCAATTGCAGGGCACCACCTGCATCCATCTTACTTAATTTCTCTACACTACAACAAAAATGTTGGCTGATCCATAAATGTTGGTGTGGAGACAGTCAACCTCAAGTGGCAGGAGAACCACTTCAGTACCAAACTCATTTTTTTTTTAATTAGAATGGAAAAAGGGGTGCGCATCATGGATGGGTATTATTTCTTTTACAGTTTTAGAGATTTAGTTTTGCATTATGTTTGCTTCTATCATGGAAAGTTGTGGACCAATTTCAATAGAATACTAGCTGTAAATGAAATAATTGAAATGAGTTGAATTCAGGATATGAAATCATATCTGAATCCAAACATGGGTGCAATTATTTACAAAACTTGCAGCTTTGAAGTCTACTAAAGATGGGGTGTACATCTTAATGGAAGATAGAATTTTTAAAAATGTTGCAGAAAGCCCGTGGTACATGCCTTACGCAAGGGCACGTGGTACTCAAATAAATATGGTAAGTCAGTACATCAGCAAATTCCAATCTTTGCGCAAAAATAATTTAAACACAATCAAAGTAAAGAAATTCCAGCATGGATGAGTTCCTAAAGTTTAATTTTTGCCAGTGAAATTATACGGGATGGTATTCTATAACTATAAAACGAGCTGTTCTTTCCTAGTTTTTAAAGTGCATGCATATTTTTCCAGGAAAGGTTGTGTTGAAGTTGATCTTGGTGAAGAATAGTTTCAATGCACCAGATTTCTTATTGGCCTATTATTATGCCCAAATTGGAGTGCATACTGATTTACCAGGATTTCCAGAGGCAAGGGTACCAGTGTGAGGCACTTATTGGAGCCCATCAGAGCTTTCAGGGATGCCACAGGGTTTTTTTGTGCCAAAATAATATACAGGTTCACCATGGTCCCCATCACACAATATTACTGCATTTATTTGAATACCAAACACCCTCATCGGAAAAGATGCAATACACATTTATTTTGAAAAGTGAAAGTTTTGTTAGCTTGATTTCATACATCAGATTTGGTTCAGTCAGCTTTGGAACATAACACTCATGAGGAACTGAAAACCTTCCAAAAAAGTACTTTTCTCTAGCTGTAAATGAAATAAATGAAAAGCGGCAAATAAAGTTTTCTGTTCATTCATTCATTCATTCCAAAAAAGTTATCAAGAACAAAACGGAAGAATTGAACTGAACTCAATTCCTCAAGAGAAATACATTTCAACCACCATCTCACTTTACGTATTTATTTAATCAGTAAAACATGCATTTAAAATTTTTTTTCAAGAACGCGCATTTGCAACATGTCCTGATCTGTACGTTTTGATACTCAAACTCTTGCTATTTCATCGTCAAAAATGGCTTCAAGTTTTGCTAATTCATCAAATCAATTTTGAATTCACTTCAAAAAAGGTGTTGAACTTGTTCCAGGAGGAAAAAAAATATTTAGCAAAGGGATTTAAAAGTGTCTCCGAATGTCCGATGCAGGAAGTCACAGAAGAGCCACGGTGCAAATGTGTCATCCTGGAATAAATACAGAAATACGATGGAAATCGACTATTATTTATTCAAAAAAAAGAGCAGAAATGTCCTTGAGTACAGAGTTCATATGTGACTGTTGAAAGCTTTTCCGGGTCAGAAAACTGCAGCAGTTCATTTATTAATATTTGTTGCAAAATTGATTGAAAATTACCCCCGGTGTTTGCATTCCGTAAATAATCAGACCTTTCACCAAAAAAAAACACCGAAAAGCTTTCAAGTCTCAGGTTCAACGATAATTTTTTTTTTGTGGATTCGCAAAACAAACTTCAGTTCGAACTGCCACTTTCGACTCCACCTTCATCAGCAAAATGTCATTACACATGGAAATAGAACTCGGATTATCGTGACCTGTGTTAAAAGGTGGACGTTTCTGAGGAAATTTCGCACCGCAGTCTGGAACATTCATCGCCATGGACAGGTTCTCAAAACTGACTTGTTGGTGCTCAATCATTGTATTGGTTTCAGTGCTTCAAAATCAAAC